AAAAAAAGTGTGAGGAAGTATGCATGTGCTGAAGATAAATTTCCTAATGGGATCTCCAACTCTTCAGCTGGAAGTCTTGAATCAACCACCAGTGATCTCAAAATTGTGAGTGATTTTGTCTGCAAAGTTTCTCTTACCTTCATTGTCCACGAAGGATGCCCAGTTCCTTGTTCTGGTTGCGAATTTTTGTGTAAGAGTTCTGCTGTTGAATTGAAATCTTGTTTTCACTAGTTCTTTGTTCCTCTGTCAGCATTTTTCCCTCCACTTCCCCCATTATCAGATCCCTTGTAGGTGGTACCGTCTCCTGTTCCTTTGGTTCCTTCTCTGGGATGTGCTCGCTCTCCCCTAAGACCGGTATCGAGGTGTTTACAGATATTGATGTATGAGTTCTGAGAGAAAAATGGGGGTTAAGTGTCTCTTCCTGCCCCATCACACTTGTCCCTCGGTCCCCCTTTGTCCGAGAACCCGTCAAAGGCAACCTGGATGTCAACAACGTGCCTATCCCAGTGGTCATCTGGGATTGCGGTACATCTATCTGCATTGGCCTCGTAAGGGGGTCGGAACCCATTTGCCCCATCGGTCTCGAATATGGACTGGGGCTCAATTGTTTGAACATCATGTGTCTCATTGCCCCCTGATAAAAAATCAAGGGTTTTTCCCCACGGACTTTCTTAAAACCCAGTTTCATTGTACTTCTTTTTACGCTTTTCAGGCTAAAGAACCTTACCCAATTAAACTTCAACCGCACAGGAAATTATTGGGGGCGTAACCTTTCTGATAATTCAATTTTATTCTGCAATTTCCTTGTGATGAAAAAAGGAGAATCAGCTGATCAGTTCTTACTGAGTGTTCTTCTATTCAGAATTGTCTGCGAATCAATCCATCATTTTGCTGATTTAATTTGCTATTATTGATTTGATTTTTTTTATTTTTTTTTAATTTTTTTTTAGCGTTGAATATAGGTAGAATACTGACCCAAGAAAGGCTAAGGAGTGGTGAATTGGGAAGAGGAGGTGAATAGAATTTGTAATATCACCGATTTTTCGCCTGCCGTCGTGGAGGAACTTGCTGCCTTTGTTAATGAATCCAATTCTGACCGATGACTTGTCTCTGTCTTTTCCTTCCTTACTTTGCTTTTCCTCTTCACGTCCAAAAGACTTCGTCGTGTTATCTTCCTCCTGCCCCTCCACTTCCTTTCCTCCCTTTCTATTGTCTCCACCTTCCTCCTTCTGATTCTCTATCCACCCTTATCTCCGTTGCTCGCTTGTTTTCCTCTCTCGGTTCTTCAGAATATCTCCCTCTCCCTATTTTGTAGGTCAGGAACAATGAGATTCGGATCTCGAAACTCGTCCTGCTACATGGCACGTTGTGAAAGCCTTCCCCTACAACCTGCGTACCCCTTTTTCCTTGATCTCCGTTACCACCTCTGAACACCCCTTTTTCCTGTTTATTTGTCGTTCCTTACCACTTTCCCTTACAACCTGCGTACTTGATATCCGTTGCCACCTCTGATCACCCCTTTCTCTTATTTATCTGTCTTTCCTTACGGCTGTAGAAATGATTCTCTTATGATAAAAAAAAATTGCCCCATCTGCCTGTAGAAGTGATGAATCCTACCCAGTTAGGGACAACAATTCCAACATAATTTACCTCATTTCCATGACTTCCCCCTCACCCTCCCACCCCACGCCACCTGTATTGCTGAGAAAGATGACCCCTGCGAACCCTACCTTTCATCACCCCTCATACTATTACTCACGATTTCAATTCTTTCGAGCAGATTCCCCGTTCGAGAAAAGGAAGCGACCCAATACTATTTTCGTCCACCCAATTTGTGCATTGTAACCTCCAACCCCTTCCCTAGTTCAAAACGAGAGATGTGAGGACACTAATGAGCGACGACAGAAAAAAACTTGAGTGTATAGAGCATAAAATGCCGAAATATCCCCTACTTAGAATACCATCACTTCCTTACTTCCCCCTGGCATAAATTATTGTTCCCATGTTCTATATGCGTTTATCATATTTCCCTCTGACAACTCATATACTATCGCGACGATTTTCGTGCTACCTCCAAAATTCGAAATTCTCATAGAAATGAAATTCAAACGTCGTTACTTATTACAATTGCGCTGAGCGCATCAATGCTTTTCAATGCCTACACGATTGGTTGACTAAATTTTGAGGACCTAGGGTCAATTTAGCATTGCTTCAACACTGTTGATAAGACACTGCACTTCCTCCTATCATAACTTTATCCCCATCTAGTCTCCTTGAAACATTAGCATCGAAGAGAACCGTGACTCGTCTCACCCACCTTGAGAAGTCAGGTATTGATTCCTCTTTGCTCTAGCACCTTTAACATTACTCCCACTACTGCCTGTGCGCTGAGTACTTCTCACATCAGCAATGTAGTACAATGTATGAGACCCACTCCGACTGCGTCCGCTGGTTTAACCTTCAATCCTTCATGACCAAAGTAGCTTACCAACTTAGTAGATTTTGACTCTTCGCATGCACGAGATTCAACATCCCAACATAAAACTTATTGTCTTTCTCTACCTCAGCAATGTGGTACAATGTGTGAAACCCACTCCGACTGTGTCCGCTGGTTCGACTTTCAATCCCTCATGACCGAAGTAGCTTACCAGCTCAAAAGTTTCGACTCTTCGCACGCACAAGATTCAACATCCCAACGTAGAACTCCTCGTCTAGTCGCCCATATTGTCAATCCTTCGTCACGAATGCTCTTTCCTCCTACATATCAAATCTGGACTCATCACACACACTTCAGATCATCAGGGGCTGACTCCACTCCCCTCCAACAAAACATTGCGGCAGTCAACATCTGAAAACTTTTTTTCTTCAGATGACGGCCGCAACTGTGGAGTTTGCTTGTGCGGGAACAACTCCAAGTGCCTCTGACAACAGCGCTAACCGCTACCAGATTTCGCACTTAGTTCCGCTCGGGCTACTTGACACGTCAGTCTGTGACGTGGCATAGCCCAACGCCTAAAGTTAGCCTGTCAGGATTCTTCGACTCGCCCTTCACACACACCCTCTAGCCACTGCTTCCCGGAGGCTGGCAGATGAGTTGAGAGAGAGATTTTCGGGAGCGCTTGCAGAATTTATAGTTGCGGAAAAGGAGATAGACGCTAGGAAAGGTTAGGACTGAGGTAGGGAGGGGTACTGGGAAGTTCGGGGATAATCGCCCGTCGAAAGCCATGTCGATTCTTCAGCGCCCCATCGTGGCCAATCAGAATCGTCGTGTATCAGGAATTTCCTTCTTACACGGCGCGTCTCCTTAGCTAGAGGGAAGAAAGAGAGAGTCTATAGAGTATTTCGGCGCGAGGATTAGAGCGGGAAAAAGAAGAGCGCGAGGGACAGCGTGAAATGGAACCAAGATTCAGACGATCAAGAAAGAGAAAAGGCGCGCGAGGCGAAGGACAGATGGAAAACGGTTACAGAGAAAGAAGGAGCGTGAGCGCAAAGAAGAGAGTGTCGAAGGTAGTGAGGGAAGCGGGGAGGGGAGGTTTGCATGCATGGCGCCGACGCAAAGGCAAAAAGGGCACCGAAACAGTTACAGCTAATTCAAAATTGACAAGTACCATATCCGTGCGTAGAGCGAGCGCGGGAAAAAGTCCTATACATATTCAGATTCCTACAAAAATTCCTGGAGTTTTCCAAGACGAAGTCGAAAACATTCATGCACAAGAAAGGACACGTCACGTTCTGCTCATTCTGGAATTCCTAACTGTGGACCCAAATTCCTAGCGCACTCGTTAAGGCACATGTAATTCCCATGCATTTCCCGAATTGAAAAATTCCCAAAACCGATCCAAAAATGACGAAGGTCCTGAGAAGGACGGGCCTCCCTGATTACGAACAATGTACATTAATTCATGGAAATACAAAAAGAGGCCATGTCGGCCTGTTTGCAAGAACACCAAAAGTCGAGAAAGAGAGGGGACGGGGGGGGAGGGATTGGAAGATGGCACAGGTCCGGAAGCTGGTGCATCACAAGTCCACATTGGCCGACAAAACCACAAAACAGCATAACACAAAAGGCTCCACTAACAAAAAAGCACCGACCACACATGCCAATGGCCTAAAAAAAAATTAGAGCCCTCTGCGATGGCGGCCACAAATAAAAAATACACCACAGGACCTGTACGCAACACCAAGAGTGCCATGAACCTCCCCCTGCCGTGCAACCTGCAGAATCGGATGATGTCCTAGTGCTACAGCAAGGCCACTGCAAGTACTAGGCCAAATTCCACAAGATCTCCACCCGACACCAGGAGCGCCACTGCTCAGGACACCCTAAAAGCTACCCCATTCTTCCATTTGCTCCGAAAGAGCAGTGTGTGTTGTAAATCATTCACAGCACCAGCTGTCTTTTTCTTTTCCCATTGAGGTACGTAGTGATTATTACCATGTCTGTTTGCTGCAACTTTTTGTGTGTGTGCCGGAACCAACCACTGACCCCTTCTGTTTCACTCTGAAAAAAGATGGAGTACCATTTTCATGTTTTTTTTGCAGAAAAAAACCATTATCAGACTGCATGGAGGGGGGGGGGGGGG